ATACATATAACTTCAAAGTTTTAGGATGACTAAATTATTGTTTAAGCAAATTCATGTAGACTGTTTCACTGTTTAGGGTTGAATTTATATGTGATAGTATTTTCATTTTATAACACACACACACACACACACACACACACATATATATATATATATATATATATATTTTTTTTTTTGGTGGTGCTGGAGATTGAATCCAGGACCTCAAGTATACAAGGCAAGTATTCTACCACTTAACTATACCCAGAGTGCCCATGAAACTTTTTTGTGGGGGTTGGTTATGGGGGATTAAACTCAAGGGCACTCGACCACTGAGCCCATCCCAAGCCGTATTTTGTATTTTATTTAAAGACAGGGTTTCATTGAGTTGTTTAATGCCTTACTGTTGCTGAGGCTGGCTTTGAACTTGCGATCCTCCTGTCTCAGCCTCCCAAGTGGCTGGGGTTACAGGCAGGCACCACCGCGCCCGGCCATACAATTTTATTAAGTGACTATGAATTTTTTACTTGAAGTCAAACAAAAATGGTAGGACTAAAGAATTTGATGTTAAGGTACATTGTTTACAATCAAATTATAAATGCAAAAATAATCTTCAATATCTTGAAAAAAATTCAAAAGCACATTAAAAGACTGATACTGTATGACCAAGTGGGATTTATTCCAGAAATGCAAATGTAGATTAGAGCTTTGTAAACTATTAACAAATTCACTTTATAAATAAGTCAAAGAGAAAAACCATATGACCATCTTGATAAATGCCATAAATGCATTTAATAACATTTAGTATCCATTTCTAATGAAAACACGCAGGAATGTAGAATTAGATGTTTTCTTCACCCATTAAAATCAGATATAAAATAAAGATGCCACTAATATATTAATTTAAGGAATCAAGAGCTGGAGCATAGGTTAAAAATGATCATTTCTGCAGTGATTTTAAACTATATACTCAAAATTAATAATCTGATTATATGTTTCTAAAAATACCTAGAGAGGGGCTGGGTGGTAATTCAGTGGTAGAGTGCTTGCCTTGCACATGTGAGGCACTGGGTTCAATCCTCAGCACCATGTAAAAAAAAAATAAAAATAAAAAAGTTTTTGTGTCCATCTACAACCAAAAATTTTTTCAAAAAACAAAAACAACAACAACTTAGAGAACAGATTACAAGAAAACATTGATTTCAGTACTAAAACCTTAACAGGAAGGGCCATAGGAAGAGAATGATAGAATTTTATTGAGGTTTGTCTGACTCCAAATACAATGCTTTGATCACATTGCTGGATATAGTCACACATATTCACTTATATGATAAGGTTGTATTACAAATAAGTAGTAAACAACTATGATTATTCAGTAAGTGTTTGGGACAAAAGGTGTTATTTGGGGAAAAAAATTAAAACAATCAAGATTTAAATTCCTAAGCATGATGGGAATTAGAAACTGGAAATTGGAGAAATGTTAATAAAAGGGTCCAGAATTTTAGCTAGACAGGAGAAAAAAGTTCAAGAGTTCTATTGTTGAGCCGGATATGATGGCACATGCCTGTAATACCAGTGGCTTGGGAGGCTCAGGCAGGAAGATCTCAAGTTCAAAGCCAGTCTCAGCAACTTAGCAAGACCCTGTCTCAAAATAAAAATAAATAAATAAGAGCTGGGGATGTGGCTTAATGGTTAAGTGCCCTTGGGTTCAATCCCTGGTATAAAAAAAAAAAAAAGAAGAAGAAGAAAAAGAACAAAGCTTTATTGTGCAATGTGATGACGATGGTTATTAACAAGGTATTATATACTTCAAAATTACTGAGAGTAGATTTTAAATGGTCTTACCACAAAAAATGATAAATGTGTGAGGTAATGCATGTTAATCAGCTTGATTATTTCACAATGTACATATTTTTCAAAAACATGTTGTACACCATAAATATATACAATTTTTTTGTCAACTTAAAAAAAAAAAACATCAACTCCTTATACATAAAGCCTTCTAGATGGATAACAGATGTGGGACAGATTTAAAAAAAGAGAGAAAAATGTTTTTGGAGTATGGTAGTCCTTTTAAAACTGTGTCACAAAAATTTGGAAATCAAAAGGACCAGGTCAATAACTTTGAATCTTTAAACTTCAGTGTTACAAACAACAACAACAACAAAAACAAACCTCAACTCACACTATGAAAAAGGACATGACAAATTGGGAAAATGTTTTGCAACATATTACAAAACAAAGAGCTAAAATTTTTAAAAAATATTTTACACATAAGGGTGAAAAAACAAAAGATGACGAAAGAATATAAACAGAAAGCTTACAAAAAGAAGTTATCCAATCAACCCATAAACATATTAGATATTTAGTCTTATTCGTAATTAAAGACTAGCCAAATAGTATTAAAAATATCATTGAAATGTCATTTTTTTGTCCAGTTGACAAATATGAAAAAGGTTAATAACATTCAGAGTTGGAGATGATTTCAGGAAATGGATACTTTTATTTCCTGTTGGTGGAAATGTAAATTGGTTTAATATTCCTAGAGAACTTGTTGGCAGGCAGTACACATAAATATGATTTTTTAAAAAATCCTACATATAGGAATTGATCCAATAAATGAGAATAGATTGAAACGTCTGGAGGAAATTCACCACACTGATGTTAGAAGTTTTCTTTATGGTGATGGGATTTTAGGTATGTGCTTTTATTTTCTTCTTTTGTTTACCCATAAGCATGCATCCTATTTTAAGAACAGCAAACTAGTTTTAATAAATTGACCTACATGTGACTCCTTTCTGTGTGGCACTGCACATTCCAGAAGTCTGGCCCAGACACAGGAGCAAAGGAACACCTCTGGCAAAGCACACTCAGTCCTAAAGAAATGTACAAAAGCTCGGTAGCCAAAGGAGTATCGGCAAGTATTCAGTGCACTTGAAATACGGTGGTTCAGACAGAGTCACGTATCTCCATACCACAAAATGGTGCCCTAAAGAGTTCACGTATCCTCCCTTTAAAACGTTCTACCTCCAAAATATCACATTTATATTCAAGAGAGACAATGTTCAGAAATGTAAATCTTTTGCCTTTGCACATATTCTCATAGTGAAAAATATTCTAAAATGTGACATATCAAAGGCCCAGGAAAAAACATCGTTGTAAAGCATCATTGACTCCCATGAAGGAGACTTATATTTGCACTCAGAGGCCCCCAAAAATAATATCATGCAAGGCCTAGTACATTACCCATCATTGTCAGAAATATATTTCTGGCAAAGAAACAAGGATTGGTAATTGAAATATCAAGTATATTTCAAGGGGATATTATATTCCAGAGGGAATGGAATAGTTTTAGAAATAGATATAATCTTTCTTTCCCTGACCTGAAGCAATTCTGTACTCCAGCAACTATTAGGCAGGATCTCTATAATACTGAAAGCAATGAATACATGCTTTATAGTTCTTAAATTTTCACATATACTTACTTCGGAGTTATTTTTTTTCCGAGTAATAATGCCAACAGGCCTTCTCTAAAGAAAGTTGTGTCTTAAATAAATTTCCTGGAAATGACATATATTCAGTCAAATTTTATATTTTTCTTCAAAATGATTGATAAATGTTAGAACATGCTGTAATTTCATTTCCAGTTGTGGCAGTGCTTGGACAGACCTTTTTATTTTTAGATTCGGTCAGCCCAAGTAAAGAGGGAGGGAGGGAGGAAGGGAGGGAGGGAGAGAGAGAGAGAGAGAGAGAGATAAATGTGTGGCCATATTCACAGGGGGTCAGTGAGGGTTAATGAGATAATAGTGATAATCTATGTTTAGCAAAACAGAAAAATGCTATGGATGTGCTTATTGCATATTGATAATGTAAAGGCAAAAAATAGTCCCACAAATAAAAAACATGCATAAACCAATATTTTCAGTGTTTCACATTCATAGACAAATACCTTGCTTAAGAAGGTAAAAAAAAAAAAAAAGAAAAACCTTCAGCTTTAGAAAGACCCAAGTTCCCAAGGTCTGTCTGAGCAAAGTTAACAGAGGCAAGCTTACCACATTGTTCCAATGTTCAGCCTTATCCATTAGTCAATCACTAACTTCTGGATCTCATTTTTTTCAGGAATGTGCACATCCAATTTTGTATAAAAGCTACATTGCTGAACTACGTTTTTTTGAAAAAGGATTGTGAATAGAAAATTGGTTTAGACAACTCAAATAGCTCTCTAAATTCTCTTTAGCACACTTGGAAGCACAAGGACTATTGTGGGCCACTAGTTTTTATTAGTTGCAAAATACAATGTCATTCTTGTAAGTTTCAGGACCAACTATAGAAGATTTCAAACTTGAACATTTTCCCCAGGGACTAGCCAAGTCCCTGTTTACAGTCCAAACTCTTAGTTCAGTGCAATTTGGAATATCTGCAACAATAATGGCATGCTCTTTGGAATTTTTTTTTCTTTTCTTTTTTTTTTTTTTATAATTTGGGCAGATATACCGACAAGCAGTACAGTTGGACCAGTGGGTGATTCTCAAAGATGGCTGTGTAGGAGACTGGAAAACTAAACCTAGTCCTTTATACTCCTTACTGAATGAAGGATGATAATCTCTAGGTGTGTGACATCAAAAGATTCTATGTTATAATTGTGTATTTTGGAGGAAATATTTTGATTTTTGCAATAAATCTACAGAAAGTAAAGTTTTGGTGGAAAAAAATAAGTGTATAGGATGAAAGAGATTTAAAAGGCACTACTAAATAGTGAAAATTACTGTAAAAGAGAAGAGTTTAAAAGAACTGGTCATTTAACTGAGAGCTTAAGAAAATTTTCTTGGTTACAGAGGTGACAGAGGGATGAGAAGGATCATGCAGTACCCAGAGTGTTCCGTTCCAGTTTCCTCCCCCTTCCCATACTTGTCTGGTTCATGAGCAAGCTGTGAATTTGGATGGCTTAATATGTGACTTGATTAGCTTGACTAAAGGCCGAGCTAAGTTGAAATATTTGGCACTGCCTTACAGAACTGAAACAGATAAACATCATCTTTGCCAAGTGGCAACTGCAAAAGTTTAAGGGTTTTGATCGGGACTAGAGGAGATTGCGAAAGTGAAGGGATGAAGATTTTATAATGTATATTTATAATTAATAATGAACAAAGAGAAAGAGACAGAAAGAGGAACAGAAGGAGGAGGAAGAAAAAGAGAAGAGAGGGAGAGAAAGAGAACAAGTAAACACTTGTTACAGAGAGAGACAATTAAGAAAATTTACTTGATTTTAAAATTTATAAAGAAACAAAGAACTGGGCAATTCCAGCTATTCAGGAGATTGCAACAGAAGGATCGCAAGTTCAAGGCCAGCCTGGACAATTTAGTGAGAATCTGACTCAGCACAGGGACACAGCCACATCAATGTTTATAGCAGCACAATTCACAATAGCTAAACTGTGGAACCAACCTAGATGCCCTTCAGTAGATGAATGGATAAAGAAAATGTGGTATATATACACCATGGAATATTATTCAGCAATAAAAGAGAATAAAATCATGGCATTTGCAGGTAAATGGATGGAGTTGGAGAATATAATGGTAAGTGAAGTTAGCCAGTTCCTAAAAACCAAATGCGAATGTTTTCTCTGATTTAAGGCTGCTGATTCATAATGTGGTGGTCGGGAGGGGGGCATGGGAAGATTAGATGAACTCTAGATAGGGTAAAGGGGAAAAGGGGAGGGTGGGGTAGGGAGGAGGCATGGGGGTAGGAAAGATGGTGAATGAGATGGACATCATTACCCCAAGTATATGTATGAAGGCACGAATGGTGGGACTCTACTTTGTGTACAACCAGATATGAAAAATCGTGCTCTATTTGTGTGCTAGGAATTATAATGCATTCTGCTGTCATACATAACAAATTAAAATAAAAAAATGAAAAAAAAAAGGGCTGGGGATAGATATATATACAGTGGTACAGCACTGGCCTAACATCTGTGTTCCATCTCTAGTACCTAAAAAAAAAAAGAAAAGAAAAGAAAAGAAAGAAACATAGGCTCACAAACAATAAATCATCATAAAGTTAAATGTATGGCAATAAGTAGAGAATGCTGTTCACTACAATGCATAGGGAATTAACACTGCAGGGTAACAAATCCATTGCTGCCAGAAACTGGAATTACAAAATGGTGATCAAAAGCATGTATTACTTGGCATAGCAAGCACACACGTTTTCACAGTCATATCCATTTGCTTCGCAAGAATTACACTGAACTGTCAGAGAAGAAATGCATTCCAGAATAATAAACAGGAACATTCCACCTATAGCCCATAGGAGATAATGATATAATTATATATCAAGATACAAGTAAATGGGGCTAGGGTTGTGGCTCAGTGGAAGAGTGCTTACCTAGCATGTTTGAGGCACTGGGTTCAATCCTCAGCACCACAATATAAATAAATAAATAAATAAAGATATTATATTTACCTACAACTAATTTTTTTAAAAAAAAAGTTAAAAAACACTTCTGGAAGGCTAATTCTTTCTTTTTTTTTTTTTTGGTGTTGGTAATTGAACCCAGAGCTCTCATACATGGTAGACAAGTGCTCTGCCACTGAGCTACATCCCCAGACCTTTTTAAAAACTTTTTTTTTTTTTGAGACAGGGTCTTGCTAAATTATCAAGGCGGGCCTTGAATTTGTGATCCTCTTGCCTCAGCCTCAAATAGTTTGGATTCCAGGGGTCTGACACTAGGCCTGACTGCTCCTATCTTTGTGTTTTTCAAAACCTTTCTTTTCAGGTAGGGGGGTTCAGTTGGGTACCAAAATATGTAGCCAGATTTGTCTGGGCTGACTTATCTGGGTTAAAACATCCAAAGTAATTCTCCATTTGTTATCCTTCTTAAAACGCTTTGTTAAAAGTCATCAGTAGGTGGATAAAATTGCTTAACACGGTGAAAACTCTAATTCAGAATAATTATCTGAGAGATTCAAATGAATAAAAGTTTGACTTATGAAGTTCTTTTTGAGATCTATGAGTTTGTATTTTAAAGCTCTCCTGGAATATGAGCTGATTCTCATGCATTTCCAAGGAGAGTTCCTTTTGAACCTATTTTAACAAACAGATAAAGATCATTTTTAATTAGTTCATCATTCATATGCAAATAAATGCTGTTATGGAATTTCGAGAGTGCTTGAAAGTGCTTCCCAAGGAAGCTAATAGTTCCCTCTGGATTTTATTTTTTCATTAATAATTTATTTAGCAAACATTTTCTTCCTAAAAAGTACAGAGGTCGTGATCTTTCCATGCTAGAATTAGCCCAACATTTTAGATACTCGATTTATTTCATGAGATATTACTAGAATTTTTATCATGACTTTTATCACAGAAGAATCGTAACTATGTCATGTATTTAAACCTTGTGGAAAAAAGTCCAGACGGCAGTTCCTTATGGTTTGATTTTAGCTATTTCTAGGACATTCATTTTAACATAAAACAGAATTCTGGAAAATGTGGGTTTTGTGTTGATTTATCTAATGAGTATTTATCTGTTTCTTCTTCCTCTTGAGCAACATGTTGGGAGAAGGTGCAGACAAAGGTAAGAATCCAAAACATTATGTAAATGTGATAACAAGGACAAACTACAGCCAATGAACAAAGATTGGAGGAGGACGTGATGCCCCCCACTCAGCCCCCCCCAACCCTCTCCAACTCCACCCCCCACCCCCCACCCACCAGCACAGTCCAGGCTGGGTTAGTTACCCAGAAATCCCTGCGTGTGAGAAGGAATGTGGTGTACCACCAACTCACAGAGGGGTTTGTATACAGCAGCACCATGGTAGTGGCTGACAAATACACTTACAAGCTGTAGTAGCTCCTTATTAACTCATAGAGGATGAAGGAGAGGAAGCAAAAAAAAAAGACAAAAAGGAGTGACTGAAAGATAAGAAGGGTGAGAAATATCTTGGTCAAAACACAGGCAAATATCAGCTAAAGTTCAACCAAAGTCCACATCACAGGCTAGAAGTATGATGAGTTGGGGGCGGGGGGTTAAGAACCTTCCAGATCCTCAAATCCTCCTTTTATAGAAGGAGATATCAAATCTCAGAGAGATGGAGTTCCAAGTTGTGAAGGGGCTGGTCATTATTCCCTCTGTCCATCACTCTGCTGTGGACAGGCTCAAGTCAAAAGTGACCTCCTCTGTTACCCCTGCCCTGCTTTTCCTAACCTAGAGGGATCTCTTTCACCTCGGAATTTCAAGGGTTCATACAGCTTTCTACTTATGTTTTGGTCATTTGTATGAGTATGTTTTAGCTTTCTGTCTTCAGTTTGTCCAACAGGGTGCGGTGCATGTGACAATAATAATCTTTTGAATAAAAGAATGGTTCCCAAGAACACTTTTTAAAAATGGACATTTTCCTTTACCTTGTCCCAATTTAAAAGAGAAACACTTTTGGTTTGCTTTTCCTGGTTTACAGAGTCTTTCCCTGTTCTAGGCAGCTTGCTCAGCAAATCCTGGCTAGAGCTGGAGAGAAAGTTCAGCCTGGAGGGCAGAGCTGAGGAGCTCACAGGTGGGGAAGGGTGGTCTATATACATATGTCTCCTGCTGGAGGGAAAAGAATAGGAAAGAGGGAGAAATAAAGGAAGGAAGGAAGAAAGTTAGATAACCAGACCTCATTCCTTCTTTCTTCCTTTTAATAAATGATTTTTATAAATTCTGTTTTGTTTCTCTCTGTTCCTATGAATCCAGATGATGGATTATTCAAAGTCTCCCCTCGGAGCATTCCTCTATCCCCAAGCGATGTTGAGAAAAGAAAAAAAAAATTCTGGGGAATTTTAGTGTACCAGAAGCCAGAGGACCTTAGCTTCTCCTTTGGATGACAAGTTAGCTAGTAATGGATGCAACTCAAACCTGATTTGAGTGATATTGCTCATTGTCACGGAGCCAGAAAAACTAGTCATATGTAGATTATCTAATCATTTCAAAGTAAAAAAAAGGAATAGATTTAAAACTCTTGCTGTGTTATTGTGCTAAAATAGAAATCATTATGGAATTATGTCAAAGGAGGGAAGATGGTTTATACCCAGAGAAGGACTTTACAGCTCACAGAAAGAGATGTCTTCTTTTTCCACATTTTTATTGGTACATTATAGTTGTACATAATGGTGAGATTTCTTGTTACATGTTCATACGTGCACATGAAAGAGATGTTTTTTCCCATCAGTGAGCTCTTGTGAGTCACTGATAATGTCCCAATGGATAACATATTGCTAATCTGTTGTTTCTTCTCCTGGGAAATCAGGAGTCAGGGGCTAGAAATAGGGGAGAAATAGAGTCTACCACTCATCAAATATCTGCAGAAACTTGTGGCAGAACAGTGATGTGACCAAAACAAAATAAAACAAATCGACTGATCTAGTTCCAAGCAATAGGAGAGCGTGCTTTAATTGCTACAAAGCCCTGGAAAGCAAAGCAGAGGGTTCAATGTTCCCCTCCTGAGGGCTGAAGCTATGTTTTATTTTCCATGAATTCTGTGTACCCCTCAGCAACATGAAGTGGGCACTCAACAGATGTTCGCTGTATTGAAATGAAGGCATACGTGTGTAGAAAAGGCGACCATGTGCCTGTGTTATCTTTCTTATTGAGCATTTCTGAGTCTCTGCCAATCTCTTCTGTTCTTTGCACTTCACAAATTGGTGACAGAAAAGCAGATGCCCTCATTCTTTTGTACTATCTGTTCTAAGCCTGGATGTCACAGTAACTTTTTTCCTTTTTTTTCCCTCCAAGTGAAGAAGTGATGATGTTTCTGGTAAACAATGCACGTGTCCATTGCCTCTAAAGATGACAAGTCAAGTTCTGCACAGTGGCACACACCTGTAATCCCAGCCTCCCAGGAGGCTGAAGCAGGAGGATCAGAAACCCAAAGCCAGCCTCAGCAACTTAGAGAAGTCCTGTCTCAAAATAAAAAAATAAAAAGAGCTGGAGATGTAGCTCAGTAGCAGAGTGCTTGAGTTTAATGATTTCATTCTCCAAATCTTTGGGGTGTGGGGATCTGGGCGAGTCCCTCTCTGAATGAGGTACCCATCCCTCCATTCCTCAGTTCCCCTTCTTAGTCTTGCTTGTTTCATACTAATAGCCATACAACTCTGTCTAGAGAGTCTGTTGTTACTCTTTTTTAAAAATGAAATTTTCTTGCTGGGTGCGTTGGCATACACGTGTAATCTCAGTGACTCAGGAGGCTGAGGCAGGAGGATCACAAGTTCAAGGCCAGCCTCAGCAGTTTAGCAAGGCCCTAAGCAACTTAGAGAGATCTGGTCTCAAAATAAAAAAATAAAAAGGGCTGGGGATGTAGCTCAGTGATTAAGTGGCCCTGGGTTCAATCCATGGTTCCAAATATAAATAAATAAACTTTTCATGAGAAGTACATCTACATTTTTTTGTTTTATTTTTGGTACTGGGATTGAACCCAGGAGCACTTATCCACTGAGCCATATCCCCAGCCCTTTTCTGTATTTTATTTAGAGATAGGGTCTCTCTGAGTTGCTTAGGATCTTACTAAGGTACTGAACGTAGCTTTGAAATCGCAATCCTCCTGCCTCAGCCTCTTGTGCTGCTGGGGTTACGGGCATGCACCACGGCACTTGGCCAACTATATGTTTTATTGCAAAAAAAGGGTTAGGGGAGATCTGTATGGAGTAAAAAGGAAGAGTTCCAACCCACTGCCATCCTGTTATCAATTAATTCTCCAGAGGTCCCTCTGATACCATCTTGGCCTTGAGAGACTGAGACAGATTATCTGGGAGTCAGTGGTTGAAAACAGAAAAAAAACCCTTACACTTGAAATAATTCTGCCTGTGTGCCTTCCGATATAATTCACTTCACAGTTTTTCTAAAACACTGGTCAGGTACTATAAAGGATTTTAAAGTGATTACACCCAGCACATCCTGTTTACTGCGCAGACTGCCAAACGTACACCTTGTATTATTCTTCATACATCCTGGATTCCTGGGGAGAGGGTGTATGATGTGGGTGTATTTCGTGTGCTTGATATCTATAAATACACTCCGAGGCTGCTCAAAGCTGCTCACTGTTATTTCAGCACATTCACTCTTCCCGGTTTTTACATACACCCGCACTCTCACAAAAAAGGAGTAAAACTGAATTTTATTTCTGCTATGATGACCACGATTCCAGATAAATTGCTACAAAACTAGGTATCATTGTTTAAGTGCACCTCATCCTAAAGATTCAACGTTAACCTCTAGCCTTTGAGCAGCCAGGTGTAGGAGAGCCCTGGTTCTCCACTCTGCGGGCCCCGTTTGGGGGCTGGCTTCCAAGATGCTGACTTCTATTTTCGCCTGCATCTGCCTTCTGCAGTTTGATTCAGGGTTCCTTTCCCCCCTGCCCATGATTCTGATTCCACTTCTTGGCTGAAGCCTTCTCTCTTCTTTTTTCTAGGAATCCCTACCCACAAGCTCTCCACCCACCGCTGCCTGCACCCTGCCCTTGCAGTCTGCACTCACACGGAGGGCAGGACCTTGACAGTGTTCAAGGCCCATCACAGTTCTATGCCCTCCTGTGGCTTTTCCCCAGGTATAGTTTAGTACCTAAGAGCACACTTTCTGAAGCCACAGTGTCAGGGTCTCAATCTTGACTTTGACTCTTACAAGTTATAGGTTCTTTAACATTTTGTTGGGTTTCATTTTCTCATTGAAAAAATTGGGACAATCCTCCCACTTCAACCCAGAGATCGTGTCTCGGTATGTTGCTCAGAGTGGCCTCAAATTAAGTGATTCTCTCACTTCAGCCTCCTCAATAGCCAGGACTGCACGACACACACTCCCATGCCTGGCCCAAAGTGGGGATGTTAGTAATGTCTACCTCACAGGGTTTCTATGAAGATCATGGTGGATTGCTGCAATAATGGCACACTTAATGAATTAAGCCATCCTGAACCCATGCTCTTGCAAAGTTCCTTTCCCTGTTGGTTTGGGGCTCGGCCATGGGTCCTGTTTTGGCCAATGGCACAAACAGAGATTTGGTATGAATACACACATTGGGTTTTGTATTCACTGCCTTTTGGAACCCAGCCACCACCTGGAGAAATCTGGGTTAGCCTGCTGGATTTGTAGACACCTGTTCCAGTTGACCCTACATCATCAACCAACTGCTAGCTGTGCAAACTAGACTTTTGGTACTAGTTAACCCCAGCTGATGGCCAAGTGATTGTAAACACTTGGGTAATCCCAGCAGACACTATGTGGAACAGAGACAAATTATCCTATCCCAAATTGCCAACCCACAGAATCTTGAGCAAATAAGTGGTGTTTAAGTTGTTTAATTTGGGGCTGGCTTGTTATGTAGCAATAGTTAACTGATTGATAAAAAAAAGAATAGATTTTCAGTCAGGCATGGTGGTGCATGCTTGTAATCCCAGTGACCCTGGAGGGTTGCAGGTTTGAGACCAAGCTGGGCAACTGTCTCAAAATAAAAAAATTAAAAGGGTGGCTGGGGTTGTAGCTCAGTGGTAGAGCACCCCTGGGTTCAATCCCCAGGACCACAACGTTTAAAATTTTTATATGGTACATGGAAGGTATTTAGAGAAGTGTGCAGATGCTTCAACCTGAATAGCAGGCATCTTCCTTTCCAGAAAGTCTTTCAGTTTAGCACCATACAAAATTCATTTTACCACCATTTATTAAGCATCAGGTATGTTGAGACATTGTATAAAGTAATGAGTCCCTGGAGATAGAAGCCAAAAATTACTGCCTTCAGGATGGGGTTATGGCTCAGTGGTAAAGCACTTGCCTAGCATGTGTGAGGCACTGGGTTTGATCCTCAGCAACACATATAAATAAATACAGTAAAGGCCCATCAACAATGAGAAAAAAATATATTTTTTTAAATTATTGCCTTCAACTCACTTATAGTCTTATGTAGAATCAAGAAGTAGTTTCCTGGGAACTGAATATAGCCTTTATGATTATTAGTTCAGCTCACATAGTGTTGGTCTATGTGGAGCTTAATATTTAAATCAGTTGTCAACATTGGAAAATTAGAAGATTTTCCAATGAAAACTAGAATCGCTGCTTTCCCTTGAAAGATCAGACCTAGCAAAATGGTCTAGATTGGAGGACTACTGCTCCTTCTCACTGGGCACAAGTGTATTGCCTCTCGAATATTCAGGGTGGATACCAGTTGCTATTTATCTTCTTATGTCCAGCCTGATTTAATCATTTAGGTTACTTCTCCAGCTTCCAGCAGGCATTTGGTTGTTGGATTCCTAGTCTAGTCGATTATATATGTGTTTTACTAAAACACATCTGCTTCTATGATATAATTTAATATTCACAATAAGTCTAAAACATAGATAGGTCAAGTAATATTAGCTCCATTTTCCACAGAAGGTAATGAAAAATCACAGTGGATAATTTTTTTTTTAATATTTATTTATTTATTTTTAGTTTTCAGAGATACAACATCTTTGTTTGTATGTGGTGCTGAGGATCGAACCCGGGCCGCACGCACGCCAGGCGAGCGCGCTACCGCTTGAGCCACATCCCCAGCCCCCACAGTGGATAATTTAGTGATCCTAGGGTAGAGGTGGTTTTCGAATTAAAATTTCCTTCTTAACCATCCTAAGTCTAAAATGTGTTTGCAGAAGAAACTTACCTCTTTCCCCACCATTAGATTTTAAACTTACATGGGTCCCAGATTGTGGAGGGTAAGAAAAATTAACACAAAATTAAGTTTGGGATTTTGATTATTACTAAGATTGAATTGTGGCATTTTAGAATTATAATGGCTGGAGAACTTTGTATTATCTGAGAGTCATGGACATGTTCAATGGAAAAGATCACACCAATAAATAAATGCATAAAGAGAAAGTAGGAGACAAAATTGCATTTTCCATGCAATCAAAATGTGTCATGTTTATTCAACTTACCAGTTACACACAGAAAGGCACATAAACATACACATACAATTTTTCTCTTTTACATAAATAGGATCACATTATCGCAGTACTTTGTAACTTGCTTTTCCCTTTCAACAGTATGTCTTTTTTATGATATTAAATATTCTTACACTTTATCATTTTAATGGTTCCATAGGAAACCACTGTGTAGTGGTATTATAATATTCGGCCAGTCACCTGTTGTTCTATTTGGATTTCCAGTTTATTATTATATAAATATGCTGCACTAAATATCCTGGAAGTTGTCTTGTATGCAACTGTAATTATTTCTTAGAGATAAATTCCTAGAAGTGGAATCACTGTGTCACAGAGAACATCTATTTTTTAAATATGTTTGATGTGAATTTAATGATTGGTAAATCAATGTACTGTCTTTAAGATTTCCCAAATCCCAACTTGGTCTGTCCACTTCAGCCAGATCAATTTCAGTAAGGTAATGTTTGAATATTTTACTCTCTTTTAAAAATGCTTCAGTGGTTTCTAGCTTATTAGATCAATTTCAGACCACCCCTTACTCAAATTCTGGGGGACTCTTGGGAAAGCATCTTGCCTTAGCTGCCCAACCTGACCTATTCTCTTTAACTCCAGGTAGAGCAGACCCATCGTTTCCGTCCATTCCGCCACTTGTTTTTTTCTTTGTCTACATAAGAATCCTGTTCCCTTTTTTTTCCCTACTAATCTAAATCTTATACATCCCCTGAAGTCCAGATCAAATTATACCTCTTACCAAAAGTGTTGCTGGGATAATCCCACCCCCAAATTATCTTTTCACACATGAATCATATTCCTCTATAATTTTAGATATATACCTAAAATTTCCTTGGGGTGGGCAAGCTGTTCCTGGCAGGTTATTTTTTTTTCTTTAAATCTGACTCCTACAGCAAACACAGTGCTAAGTACTGAATCTTGAAAAGGATTGTAAAATTGTGCAATATGTTCCTGGAGAAAGTTCTAGAATATTCTTTGAATGTGTTTAAAATTAGTCATAGTCCCCTTTGAAATTAGGTGAATGGACTAG